AATAAACGTAACGTTCATCTTGCTAGCTACAAGGGAAATAGAAATATTAATATCAATATGTATTTATAATAAATTAATTTTTTCATCTAATTCTAATTAGATATACGTTTACTAGCCTGTGCTCCGACTATAATCCCACCTTCCTAAACATTAATTCTAATTAGATGATTCGGTTTTCTTCGAACGTTGACCGAACAGTTGCCAATTTGCCACATTTGCATCTAACACTCTCCGTTGGATTCTCGAATGGCCGGCGAGAAATCGAAGAAAAGAGATTTCATCGAAATCTCATCTTCAGAAGAATCAGAATCAGAACCTCCGTCGCCGGAGAGTGATGAAGATTTCTCCGAGAGGAACAGGTATTTTCGAACCTCGATCTACCTTTTCTTCATACGAACCTGTTATTAATCAGCTAAATTGCTACCGTGCACGTACGATTTTCGGCGATGCTTTCGATCTCCTTTTCTTATGGCGGGATTTTGAATCAGTGATGATGATGATGAGGAGGAGGAGGACGGTGATTCTTCTTGCGAGTGGATTGATTCCGAAGATGAAAAAGATGATGATGAAGATTGTGTTCATAAAGATGATTTAGAATCAGTGAGCAATAAAGTTGTTCAAATTATCAGAGGTGTCTGCATTTCGCGCTCTTCATTTATGTTATCAGGGTAGATTAATGTATATTGAGTGTTGTTGAGTCTGAGTTTTTAGGTTGGAAGAATACTCGGTATTGCCGGTTACTATCTCGGTTTCTGTTTTTCACACTGTATGAGTTGCAGGGAGGAGTGATCTGCAAGAACTTACGTTGGTGGAATGTAAAGCATATCTAAGACGGCATGGGTTGCGACTATCTGGAACTAAAGAAGAGTGCATAGAAAGGATCAAGGAGCACTGGAGGTTGGTGTTCCATTTTTTTTTTTTTTTGTTAATGTTATATTCATGAGTCTAATTCCTATGGTAAAACATCACGGAAAGTATAGTAGTACGCATCCTATACTTGCTCTTGAGATTCTCTGTGTTAGATTTACTAGGAGCTTCCATAACTTTGATTAAGTTATCTGCAGAGCATGCTCAGACTTTTATACTTTAGGAATTGCTTTCCCATATGTTACAGGGGTTTTGATGAAAATGAATCATAGTTTGGCATTTTTCCTATTTATTTGTTGAATTCCTTGTGGAAGTGATAACTTGCTCTCTACATCTTGGGAGCTCAATTTTTTCCGAAGTACATCTTGAGGCATCATTTACAATCAATATGTCTGGAGTTGAGTATCGATATTCTATATTCGAGTGTGAAGAAACATAAGGACAATGAGTTGTCGTCCCCACAGGTTAAAAGATGGAAATGGTGAAACATATTATCCCAGATCGTCATTTACGATTGATTGCACGGGTAGGTGACTTCACCCTATACCATTTTTTTGACTTTGGGGGAACTCAATTTGGCTTCTAAATTTCTTCACTTTCATGTTGTTTTCTTTCCAGGTGATGTGTGCAAGGGAGATGTCGTCTTGTTCAATCAGAAAGTACACCAAAAGTATAAAATCTTAACTGGCTCATAAATGTAGTATGATTTCTTTAATTTTAATTGTTTTCTTGGTTGATCGCATCAAATGAAGGAGTTCAAAGAAGAGGCCTGGAAGCCGGAATCTTTGGCGGAGGACAGTTGCCGGGAGAATTGTCAAGGAAAGTTATGGTGCTGCCAAGCAACAACATACTTTCACGGTAATACCAATTATAGTTAGGTGTTGAAAATTGGAGAAATTCAAAATGAGAAAGTCTAATCACTGTGGTTGGCATTCCCTTTTGGATCTCTGTAGTGATTATTCCTTTTATTTTTTTGGCAACCTACTTTTTTGTTTGGTCTTTTGCTATAAGCAAAGGTCGAAGTGCTTTGGTCCAAAGGGGCTAAGAGATTAGATCCAATGTCCCCTCTACTAGTGAAGGGCCGCAACCTGTACAAAATGAAGACATTTAGACAGGTATACCTTAAAGTTTTACTAGCTCGAAAAATAGCATCACTCATTCTGATAAACAAATTGTTAAGATATTTTCGTTTTTCATTTTCTTTGGATGTAACAGCGTTGGAAGAACGAAAAAGAGCGATTAAGAGTACTTGCTGAGAAGCATAAACGAGGAGCCGCTGCAAGAACAATTAGAGCCATGAGAAATGCAAAAGCAGTTGTGAAGACGAAAAACTCCTCATCACAAAAGGGTAATGCCACGGCATATTGCATGCTAGAAGATAAACTGTTTGGATATAATTCGCTTTATGTCAATGTTGTTCCGTAATGATAGGCCCCAAGCGCAGCAAGCATTCCCATCACATAGGTCCTTCTGGAAAAAGAGACAATACAACTCGCAATAAAAAACATCCAAATACATGTTTGGAGTCAACAGCCAAAAACAAGAAATGGCAGCCACGTCCGAACTCCAAGCCTTTTCAAACAACTTCGAGGTCAAAGCAAAATTCTCGTAAAAGGCATCCAAACCCAGTTTTCCAACCCAATGGAGTTCGAGAATTCCAAGGTTTTGCGTACAATTTTCCTGCCCAATTTCCTTACCATTTTCAGTCGAACGTTTTGCTGAGAGAACAAGCGCGTCACTACTTTCCTTCTCCTCGAGGTTTTCTGCCCCCAGCTGAATTACCATGCATGGAAAATCCATTTCGACAATGGAAAGGATTAGATCGAGGTGATTATCCACATTCTAGGAGTTCAAATGTGCTGAGAAATGCGAACTACTTCCCCAGACTAATAGACGAGCACAACCCATCATCTTACTTGTCAAGTACCCACACACACAGATGGAGATGATATGCTTTGAAGCTTCTGCAAGTGCAGCCCTACTCTTTTGTGTTTCGGTTCATGGTTTTAATGAAAAATGTGCAATAGGGGGGAAATCAAAACATGTGCGTCTTGAATTATATGGAATTTGAATGTGCTTGAAAAGTATAAGTTACTTATTCATCAAAGGCGTTCTTGATAATGAGTTATTGCAGTACATCATGTCTAAAGATGACTATACGGGGAAAAAATGTGCCAAATAACATTTTCACGAGTACATTCTGGTTACTGGTGAATACTAGAAAGCCCTTGGGATGTTTAGTTGTTAAAACGATTAACTGTCGGATGTTCGGATGCTAATAGATTAAAAGATTAGTCTTGAATGAATCTTTTAATCTCTGGACCCAGAAACAAATTCACTAATCAGCCCAAAACCACCCAATCAACTCTCACTCAGTCAGACTCAGACTCATCTCACTATCGAACAAAAATTGTGCCCGGCCCTCAATCGTCCAAAGCCTGTGATGTCCTCATCAAGACAGAAACTAATGCTTGCATAGGGTAATATTACTTATTAAGTACCTAATGCACAGTATTTCATTTTTTTTTTTTTCCAAGTCATGAACAAGGATTTTTTTCTTCTTTTTTCTCTTTTCCGAAGCTGTTGTTTTAATGAAAACCAGCTTTTATTAATTGTTGGAAAATGTATTGTCCCAAATCAAGAGGATTTCTGGACATGATTATATTCGACAGTCCACATGTGCTGCTATTGCTTTCAGATATATCATCATCATCATCATCAAATAAATGGGTCTCTACACAAATGACGGCTCTCTTGTAAATTTTAATGGTTCAAATGCCCCGACAAAACACATCGTGTACCATTTTTGACTTCACAGTACAACCAATCATCATTTGCAAAGTCTTTAATATGATTGAACCCAGTACAATACAAAAAATATACAAAGGGGTCCCAAACATTGATACCAATTTTTATAACATTAATATTGATGTTAGACTGATTACTGGTACAACAGTCGTCTCATGTTTATTCATATTTTCCAAAAATAACATAAATAAAATTATTACATTTATAAATACGTATTTTTTTTTTATATTGATTGAGTAACAGTAGAATTTGTATTTTTTTTAATAATGTAAATTTTATTTGGTCCAGCAGGAGAATTTACCCGATCCGTGCACCCTTTATATGCTGCAGTTCAAATGGATATAAGAACTTCATGCGCCAAAAATGGGGAAAAGGATTGAAGATATTTTGTTAAGGAATTGGCAAAAAGGGAATTTCCAACTTTGGAATTGAGAAAAAGGCACACTTTTCACGAAGATGCAAATATATCACAACAAACATTATTTACACAATATCATTCTTCAAATTTTTAACATTTTCTAATCTTTTTTATTTTTTTTATTTTTTTTGTTTTTCCCTCAAATATTAGAGTAATTTTTCGCAGTAACTTATTAAGGCAATCCAATACTAGCTAGTGCATCACTCTCACCATTTAATTCAACCAACTAATACCAAAAAGGTAAATCTTGAGAGTGGTCCATAAAATATCTATTCCACATTGGACTGAAGTGAATTGACTATTTAGAAGTAAACTAGTAAAGCCTAATGTGTGAACTGAATTGTAACACGAACACCCTATGTTCAGTCCACCCAAGCATGTCCCCACATTGGATGGGGACTTTTATCATCTTTCCCTTTTAAGATATTCACACTATCCCCCCAAAAAAAGGATAAAAAAATTAAAAATATTTCTTTTACTACTAAATATAAATAAAAGAAATAACAATCATTTNAAAAAAGAAAACCGACTTCAAAAGAACTCAGGTCCACCTTGACCAAGGTTAAGTTCATAGCTCCATATGGACTTTTCTTGACTGTGCAAATACCAATAAGCTTGGGCCAAAATATCTGGGTCCATCAACCCTGGCCCAATTCCTTCGTGCCTGACTTGATTGTCACCCACGGAAGAACATGATGACGAGGACGACTCGTCTGCCTGTTGTTGCTGATGTGGCGTGGGTGGAGGCTCCGCCGATGGTTGCTTTGAGGTCGATGGAGGTGGAGAAATTGTCCTGTCAAATTATTAATTCTATAAATTTCCACATTTGGAGATATTATATATGGGGCTAAATTAATTATACAGATCTCTTGTCTAACCATTACCCTTTGATTAAGTTGAGTTCATTTGAAATTAATGCAGTCAAAGAATTTAGTGATTGTTTAGAAACATTTTACATTTCTTGATATTTTTTAGTATATATACTCGATTAATTCCTGCCATATGTATAAATGTTAGAATAGTGGTACTTATAATATATCAGATACATGCATAATCATATTTAACCTTAATTAATGTAAACAGAATATGCATGCACGAAGTTCGGATAGAATCATATATCCTATAATGTTGTTGTTATTGGTACAAAATTAAGTAATGCATGCATGCTTATTGAGAATAGAAGACATAACTATAAATTGCCGACCTTTGTCGTACGCTACGGGTCGACTCTCCGGGATCACTAAGTCGACTGAAAATAGGAAATGATACACAAATTAAGTCATCTTAACAAACGAATCCCTCTNCAATAGTGCCATGAATAACGACATGGGCCACATGAATTCCCATGGGCTGATACTCTCGTGCCAGCGAGTGGGCTAAACCCCTCATCCCAAATTTCGCCGCACCTACGAATTTACTTCTTCAAATCAAATCCCAAAAAAAAAAATAAAAAAAATTACCACTACATAATGTACATCACATGAGTTAAAAAAAAAATTCATACAGAGATCGGCAAAGCCGGCAATGCCTTCCACTGAGGCCGTGCACCCGGAGAACAATATCGTTCCCCGTCCCTTCTGCACCATCTTCGGCAACACCTTGACAAGACCAAAACAAAAACAAAAATAAATCAAAATATGTATATATATGAAATAGTTCTTCTTCGATTAAATGGAGGCAAAAATTCATTTTCAGTCCACTAACTTGTCTGAATGAAGTTCTTTTTTGGTACACTAACTTTCCCCTCATAAAAAATATATAGAAGTTGCAAATTGTGTCATTTTCTGAACATTAATCAATACATAGTACGTTATTTTTCGGAATTAATTGCAACACGACGTACTATTTCTGATGAAGGGGAAGTCATCATTGTACCAAACAAGGACTTTTGACAAGTTAACCGACCAAAATTGATATTTTACCATTAAATGGAGGACCTTTTGGGCGCAGAGGAAGGCGCCAGAGACAGAGACGGACAAAGTCTTTTCGAATCGTTGGAAGCTTATATCGGCCGACAGAGTAGAGTCCAACAACACGGGGTCGTGTGCATTGTACACTAAAACCTCCACGAATCCCAACGAGAGGACGGCCTCAAACGCGTCATGTATGCTCTTAGCCGACGAGCAGTCGATCCGTATGGCGTAAACGGGGGCCCGAGCCTCGGCCGCCAGCTCCTCCGCATACGCCGACAGCTGGCCGGAGCTCGCATGAACTGGAAGAAGGGATTAAAGAAGAAGTGAGTAATAAATCTGCACGCGCGCGCGCACGTGTATGTAGAGAGATCAATCACTTACGCAAGTCTCGGGAGAGAATGGCTATCGTGTGGCCTTCTTTAGAGAATTTACGGGCAATCGACCGCCCGAGCTTCGGGCCCACGCCGACGATGGCGCAGATGCCTTTTTTGTGGGTACGTAGCGGTGTGTAATTGGTTTGAGATGTGGCCATGGATGAGATTCGAATAGGTATGGAGAAATTGAGAAAGAGCTGAGGTTTTTTTAAGAGGAATTTTGTTTTTAATTTTTGGATGTGCAACTGTAAAGTTATATTTGGATGTGTGATGTATGACGTCTTATTTATAGAGGAGACAAAGTCGATATATATTATAAAAAAATTAAAAACTGTGTGTAATTGTNTCCGGTTGGGGATGGAGAGGCAATAAACCGATGGAGAGGCAACAAACCGACAGTGATAAATGAAAGGAAATGGATGGTTTTTCTTTTATTTTCCAAAGCATAAACAGATAAACTAGTAGTACAATATTACACCGAGGCTGGTAGGGGAAGTGTCAATCGTTTGTGTATTGAGCTTTCTTGCTGTCAGCACCTCGGCAGTTGCAAAATTCTATGTATATAATTGTAACCATTTATTTAAGGATTTAATGCACCAAATTCTCATGTATTATATTAAATTTGTGCGTTTTTCCTTTGTATTTTAAAAATTACAAGGATGTGGACAACATGATTTGAACCTGAGTTGGAAAGGAAGGGAAGGAAGGGAATGACCGCTCAACCACTGGGCCATATGGATGGATGTGTAACTTATTGAACATAAATATATGTACACATCATACTGATCAAATGACCTGCAATACGCCGTGAAGGGTCTCGACGGAAAACTTGCGACGCTTAAGTCAGAAATTGCTCACCGAGAATATATGAAAAAAATAAGACTTAAGGCGTGATATGTGACATCATAATGAAGTAGAGTATGTCACCCTTATATAGGATATATAGAATCCATGTTAGGAAAGAGATCTCATCAGATCACATTTTTCAACTTACCACGTTTCTATTTTGACAAGTTTTCTTAGCAACAGGGCCGTCTCCAGAAATTTGGAGGCCCTAGACAAGTTTTTTTTTTTCGAATTCCCGATTTGAACTTGCGTGGTAATTAGGCTATTTGCAGATAGTATCAAAGAAGAAAAAACCTAATAAAAAAAGACTATTAAATAAATAAATAAATAAATAATTGAAAAAAAAAATTCTTGTTTTTCTAGACTTTAGAATTGATAAATTACCTATGAGTTTCAAAGATTTTTAATAATTTTCATTCAATCAGTCATTAGAACAACAAAGAGAAAAAAAATTAAAATCATATCACTGTAAAGAATGTTTATTCTCACACAATTGTTCTAACCGAACATCATAAGAAAACAAATAAAATATTTAAGGCCTCAAATTTTCACACAAAGTATATATTTTGTCATTAACCTATTCATTAATTAGCTCATTCATTTGTATAATGGGCCAAACACATCACAAATACATAGTATTGGAAAAAAAAAAAAAAAGAGGCCCCAAATATAAGGGGAGGCCCTAGGCATGGGCCTAGGCTGCCTCCCCAAGGAGCCGGGCCTGCTTAGCAAGTGATATTTTCCCTCTTATTAGGATTCATTCCTTCTTGTCATGCTGCCCTTAGGTCCTCAGATTGTAACCACGACCTCATGACCTACTTGTTGTAACTTAGCCGAGGTCAAACCTGACCTCCTTTTGAGGCTGAACCTGACCTCAGGTCTTATGACTTCAATACCTTGAGGCCAACTTTCTTTTCCGGGCTCTTGGAGGTCGATGCCTCCGGATTGTTTTCTTTAGGTCGGCCACTACTCTGACATTTAATACGAGCTTCTTGACTTGATTACTTATTTTTTGACAGGCTGGAACTCTCCTGGACGGGCCTATCTGAGTTGACTGCTCAAGCTAGTATACCGAGCTATTCTGAGTGCTAAATCATATAGCCCCCCAATTTCAGGACGAGCTAACTAGACTTGTGCTGAAATGTGACTTTTTATCGAGCCTCTACATCTGGTTTACTTCTGTATTTAATGCACTGACAGACAATCTAGGAGAATGTGAGACGCCGAAAATGCCTTCACCTGCTCATATCCCAATCTTTGAACATGCCCCACGCCCACGTGTGCACGTCGTATCAAATTTTGTACTTAAATATGGGCCTTTAATGTGTGTGACCCCAATGTTCGGATTACCTTGTTCTTTAGCTTATAAAAACCCTTGTGGGATGCCCTGACCTTATTTATCATTTTTACACTCTTC